AACATCAATGTCCATCTTGTTTAAGATTCTTATAACTGTTAGAAGAAAACTATTTTGTTGTTTATATTGCAGTCCCACCCATTGATCTCCGTCAGGATGGGATATTGTGCTAGGTCATTGTGCAGCTGTTTTTGTTTGCATTTGAACCTTGTTCTGCAAGTGTTTGCTACCCCAGACACTGCAAGGAGGCGCATGAAAGCCTGAAAGTGATTTATCATCTTCTATTGTTGTATGCAGTGTTGTTATAACCATGTTGGTCCATGGATATTGGAGAGAGACACAGCTTTCAAGCCACACAGAGCTCTTCTGAAGAAGCTCAAAAGCTTGTCTCTCTCACCAGTAGAAGTGGGTCCAATAAAAGATATCACCTCACACACCATGTCTCTCTAAAGTGAATCAGTTTTACTGTTCAAGCTGAGTAAAATACAAGAAAGCAGGGACTAGAAAAATTGTGAAATGAGTCATTAAAAAAAACCTTTTGATTTTCATAATCTTAGGTGTTACATGTTACACAGGCAGGAAAGTGGTTTGGTGGGGGTTTTACGGAAGGTTTATTATTTGATAGCATGCTATGTTAACAGCTTTTTGCACTGTGGAAATGAGGTGGAGTCCCCTTTGTAACTAATGGTATTAACACAGATATAGTGCTTTTGTTTTTTAAAGCTACAGTATTGAGATTCAGTATCTGGTTTTCAAAAGAGCTCAGCACACTGGATGCTGAATTCTTTTGAAAATCTGGCCACAAGTATGAGTGCTGAGCTCTCGAAAATCTGATCCGTTGGGGTTGACTTTCAGCGGGGCTGAGCCTCCAGAACGCCAGATGAAGTCAACAGCTGCAGGTGCTCAGGGCCTCTGGCAATCAGGCCTCACAAAACCCCTCCTCTGGGAGGTAAAAAGTAGCCCTGTTTTCAGGTAGAAAAAGGGAGGCAGAGACGACATATGTTTTGCCCAAGGCCAAACAGCCAGTCTAGTTTTATTATTCTGTGCTGCAGGTGGACTTGAATGCACCACAAATTATTTTATTTTTTTCTCCTCCTGTATTTTTATTGCAGCTGGTTTACATACATACGGTTGCATGGTAATGTTTGAAATAAACACAACATAATTGCTATAGAGTTACTCAGTCTGATTTACAGACCTTCCCACCCAGGGACAGCGGTTATTAACTGATCGGGTTATTGTCCCTCTAGAGGGATATTTGTAAACTTTAACTTTGGTCTCCTGATCTATACAAGGAGAGGGTGTTCTATCAAAGTTCTGAACGGACCATTTCACAGCCATAAATATGCCGATCACCACCTGAACTGTTCCATGTAGATTTTTCTCATGAGTGCACAAGGCTTTTTTTAAATCTGTGAACCAAGACATTTTCCAGGAAAAAGAAAAGCCATTCAGTGACCACAAGGAGAATACCTTTCTCACGTGTGGTCCTGAGAGACAGCGTGGCTCTCAAGATATTAAACAGTAAATGCCTAACTAAAAAATAAACATTCAAGTGATCGCCTCAGCAGAGAAGCAAGAATGTACTGTACTGGTTATTACAGTGAGGTGGCAGTAGCACCACTGGAGGTAAGGTTGAGCTTAGAAAAACTGGCTGTCAAAAAGTAAACTAAGTGCTCTAAAATCCACATGCTTACTTTGAGTGCCTTAAATTGCTGTTCTTCACCAAGGTCCAGGATAGATTGTTAGGACAAAGGTTTCCTGATATAAAACCTTACTTAAATCATGTGACATCAACATTTTATAGTTTTTATATATACACACACACATACACACTTTCTATATAATTTATTTAGTAAGGAAGTATTAAGTTTACAAATCCTTGCCATGTATATATCAAACAAAACAGCATTACAACAGTGAGCTTTACAGGAATGCAGTCATTAGATCTCTCTGGATTTAATATTTTTTGCATATAACTAGGGCTCACCTATGGCTCTGATCTTCCCCAAACACATGCCAGCTGAGATCACCCTCCTGAGGCTGATCTCAGCTTGCATCTGGCACCCACTGCCCCTTTGGGGAAGCAATATTTTAGAAGTTATTCAGGGTAGAAGTTGGATCTACAGTGTGGCTCAAGCCAAGTGGATGAGCCAGAGTAACAAGGTGGCTGAGGTAATGTCTTGTGTCTCTCACCAACAGAAGCTGGTCCAATAAAAGATATTACCTCACCCACCTCATCTCTCTAGTAACTTGCGACTGACATGGCTACAAGAACAATGTAAGAGCCAGAGTAAGTCATTTGTGCGCATGCAGCAAGACTGGGACTCTGTTGCAAGCTTGATGTCCAAGTATGTGGGTGGCTCATGGTGACATAATGTGGCCATTGAACTCACCTTGCACCCACATAAAACAGCAACTTATGTTTATCCTGAAAAATACACAAGCAGCATATTTAACTATTTACAATCGTTCATCCAAATGACAACCCAAAGGTTTACACTTGTCACTGTCTCCTTTCTAAGTGCTCTAGTTCCTTGGGCAAAAAGGTGTGAAGGAGGATAGAGCTGGTAGCTGAGGACCAGTGGGATATTCCCAGGAAGCCTCCTCATGTACCACCATCCCTCCAGTGCTCCCTAGTCATGCCCCCCATTACTACCCCCACTTCTTCAAAAAGGGGAAAATTCATTGTCCAAAAATCTTTTATTCACACTGAGTTAAGGGTGACCGGCAGCGCCTCCCACCCTTCCAGGCATTGAGTGCACCTCTGAAAACCAGGGAATACAGAGTTAAGGTACATACCAGCCCCTGCCCCACAAATTTAAGTCTGCCCTCTCTGAGTGGTGCCCCAGACACCCCAGCACTGTATCACTCTGCTGCAATGTACTCCTTGCACCAGTCATTACAGCTGTCCCCAACACTGTGAAGGGAAGCTGGGGAGTGCCTGCAAATGAATGAGTGAATACACTTCTGTAGGACACCATACCACATTCCTCACATCTACTTATTATAGAGCTGCCCTGGCTGAAGCCTACTTACAGTATATCTCCAGTGAATCTTGCCAGCTTCAAAGGGCATAGTTAAGGTTGTGGGGGTGGGGCTGGTGTGTACCATAGCTCTCTATGGTCTGGTTTTCAGAGTTTAAATATAGGTCTACTCAACGCTCAGGCAGGGTACGGGCATGGCCAGCCAGTTACCCTTAACTCTGAATTAGTGAGTTTTTAGGTAGTGAGTAACAGGCAGCACTTAGCCAGTGCTTTATGTTTTTAAAGCACTGCACAAATATTAACTAATGAAGCTTTACAGCACCAGTGGAAAATAAGTACATTTTAGGCAATAGCTCCATTTATACACCTGAGGAGAATAAACGATTTTCCCCAGGGACAAGACACTGGGACTTTTTATCTCGAAGTCCTCAAGACTGAAGCACCTCTGGAGAAACACTCCACAATGGAAAAGGATCCCAAACAGCTTCCAAAATAGCAGTGGATTTGGTGAACTGGACCCAAAACAGAAGAGCACTGTACCCGAGATATGAGACTGTAGGCACAGAGTTGCCATCTGGGGTTGCAGCCATTACCATCCTCAGCTACCCACACAGGGTGTTTTCACCCTGGAGCTGGGGGTGTGATTCCCAGATCCAGGAGACATACCTGTGGTAGATCTGATCAAGCCAGCATGCTAGAATTAGAGAGTAGCTACCACAATGTGAGCAATGGGAGAAATCAGCCATCCTGGGGACATAGCTATGGTCTCTGACGGACACACACTCAGGATAGCTAGTTCCTCCTGCTGCTTGCACCACCCTGGCTACTTTTTAGTGCACTGTATGGGTATGTCTCCTCAAGCTGGGAATCACACCCCCAGATCAAAGCATAGGCACACCCATAGATGCAGAATGCAGCCATGGACCATTAGCTGCCACAAACAGGGAAACAAAACAGCTCCATTCCCTTGCCACCTGGGCTCAACTGCCATGGACATTAGTGACAAGCTTCCACTGACTTCAATGGGAGCAGGACTGGGGCTCTTGGTCAGGAAAGTGAAGTGCTTAGAATGTAGACACCGAGTGTGTCCAACATTACACCACTAGAGGGCAGTGCTATGCACAGCCATTCTGTTAGCAAGCATATGAGGCATGCAGGCAGTGATCAGCTGCCAAAATCTTAACAACTGGTTCCCTATAAAAAGTTCTGATTTAAGGGATGTGCCACAGTATGTATTTTTTTGTACCAATAAGGTTACCATATATCCGTATTTTCCTGGGAGGAATTTTTAACGATTTTTGGGTCTTTTTCTTATATAGGCTCCTATTACCCCGCACCCCCATCCCGATTTTTCACACTTGCTGTCTGGTCACCCTAGGGTGTGCACATGTGTGGGTCCCAGCTGTTCCCTGCCCCCCTCATTGAAGCAGGTGTGCAGGGTTACTGCCCTGGGAACAGCAGGGCACCAGTGGACGTGGGGCTGGCTGCAGACAGGGGCGTGGGGCAGGGCTAGCTGGAGGCATGGGGTGCGGGGCTGGCTGCGGGCGGGGGAGGCGGGGGGCTGGCTGGAGGCAAGGGGGCGGGGGGCTGGCTGGAGGCAAGGGCTGGCTGCAGGCAGGACAGGGGGCTGTGGGGCTGGCTTCGGGCAGGGCCGCAGGGAGGTGCAGCAGGGGTTGGCTGGAGACAGAGGAGTGCGGGGCTGGCTGGCTTCGGGCATGGGGGTGCGGCAGGGGTTGGCTGGTTAACAGGGCAGGGGGTGCGGCAGGGGCTGGCTGCAGACAGGGCTGCAGGGGTGTGTGGCAGGGGCTGGCTGCAGGCAGAGGAGTGCGGGGCTGGCTGGCTTCAGGCAGGGAGGTGCGGCAGGGGCTGGCTGGTTAACAGGGCAGGGGGTGCGGCAGGGGCTGGCTGCAGGCAGGACAGGGGGTGCAGTGCTCCAGCTCGGCTTTTTTTTTTTTTTTGCTTCGGTGGCGCCCCGGCCCGGCCCCCCCCTGTGTCCCGATATTTTGTTTATGTAATCTGGTCACCCTAGGGCAGGGCAGGGGGTGCGGCAGGGGCTGGCTGCAGGCAGGGCAGGGGATGCGGGGCTGTCTGGAGACAGGGGCTGGCTGCGGGCAGGGTGGCGGGTACTCACGGGGAGAGCGCCTCAGAGCAGCCCGAGCAGCAGAACGCAGCCCAGGCCAAGCAGAGCAGCCGGGGACCCACCAGGCAGCAGCGGGAGCCCCAGGACCAGGGGTCGGGGGAGCAGCAGCAGCAACAGGTCCCGTGCCCAGGGCCAGGCGGCAGCCCACATGGCTCCCGCAGCGCAGCGCCCCCGGTGGCCAGAGAAGGAATTACATCACTTCCCAGCCGGAGCCCATCAAAGCCACAGCGCCCCCTCGCAGGGAAGTGGGTTAACAACCGGTTCTAAAACTGTTTCAAAATTTAACAACCGCTTCACATGAACCAGTGAGAACCGGCTCCAGCTCACCACTGCCTGCAGGAGACCGACTATGTGGACCTAATGAAAGGGAACACATTCAGAGGGGCCAAGAAGGGAGGGTGTTGTCCAAGGAGACGCTCCTTTCACAAGCTAATTAATAGAAGGACATTCATCCCCAGATAGTGAGAGAGCAAGAAATGCAAGATCCCAACTGCTGCGAGTCCGATAAGAATCCAGAGAACTCCAGCGCTGAAATACATTGGGGCTAACCTGGAGGGAGACAGAGTGCTCAGACTTAGAAGCATTGGCCTCTTATAAGGGGAGTAATATACCCTAAGAGAGAGAAGTGGGGAGAGGGTACAGTGAAACCCATTAGACTCCCATTCCCACCTCCCTATGCCCCCTAAAAGGGAGGGTGAGGTTAGAACTCTCCCATCTGTACTAAGTCCTTTCCCCTTGTTCTAGCTCAACCCAGGTGCGCGCGCACACATACACGCACGCACACGCACACACGAAACTCAGAACCCCAGGAAGCAGAAAACTCTCCTTGTGTCTCTTCTGTACACTTAGCCCTAATCCTATATCCAAGCCCATATTAATGACTTCTGGCTCCCTATAATATTTAACACAGTACTCATCAAACACCTGCTGTGACATCGTGATGTTAAAGAGGCCCCTATACATTTCTGTGGGCTCTAATTCCCTTCATCAGCCCTTAATCTAACTGTACTTTTATATTCCAGGGAAGAGAACTCTTGGCAGTTCTGATTCATGCTGATCTTTTTAACAGAGGTAGGGATCCTGCTACATCCTGAATAGGCAGAAGGACGGCAGTCTCGGAAACCAAACTCTTCCACATCCCAAGTGCTTTAAATCCCGTGCCAAAGACCCCAAAAGAAGAAGTCCACGCCTAACCATAGCAGGGCTCCATTACCTTCCCGAGGAGGACTCTTTATACCCCATAAAATAGCGGTAGCGGGAGTAGAGATAAAGCAGGCCCAAGGCAGCAGTCAGAGCTGCAATTGAGAGGAGACGACAAATTACAGTAGCAGACACCAAAGGCTTTTTGGAACTATTTGACCAGCCTGTCCCTCTAAGGCTAAAGCCTCCAGGGAAGATCCTGACTGTTCCCGCTCTATTGCGGGTGCAATCTTGCCAGAGAGCTGAGGAAGCAAGTCCTGTTGACTCTGCCCACTGGGCCAGCACATAGCAGACGCATGGAGCTAAACAGATCCAGCATTTCCCCCGCCCCATTTAACCAACGAACTGGCCAGTCTCACCTTGATGGAAGAAGAGGCCAGCCTGCCAGAGAATAGCCAAGAAAATGGGGAAATACTCAGAGCAATTCACCCTGGAGGAAAAGAGGAAGAATAGGGTCAGCATTCTGTGCCTCTCTGAGGCCTTCCAGTGGCTCCAGGCTTCTGCTTTTCCAGAGACTACTTCTCTGTAAAGCAATGCCCAGTGGCTTGCACCCATTCCTTTCCTGCCCCGGTCTTCAGAATAAATCTCCTATCTAACCCCAGCTAATGGGGTTCTATGTAGTAACTCAGAGCAGAATGTGGGCCATAATATTCAATTACTGTGGTTTCTTCCCATTAGTTTTCAGAGTGCTTTTCACTCACCCAGCACCATGGGCAGTGGTGAGCCTAGTGCCTGAGGTTTTTTATACATGCATCCTCCTCCTCACCTTCCCTTATGTTTTCCTTGGCAGCTTTGGTTACTAGTTGGTAGCGATGGTTGTGTGTTCTGTTAGCCATTGCAGCCATCTTCACTAATGATCTAGTCTGAGATTACAGATCTGAGGACTATTTCCTGCACTGTCAGGGAAATGGAATAAATGATCCAGTCGTTTTTTTTCCCATGTATAGGATCAGATCCTGCACCCCTGCTCTGGTGATGCAAAGGAGATGGAAACTGGCCACGTCTCCTTAACTAGGGATTACCCCAGTGAGCATAGAGCCTCCAAGGCCATTGTCTCTCCCCATTACAGTACCTGGCATAGGGGCTATGTCAGGGGCACTGTACTCTGGCTATTCCCAGCTGACGGATCTCCTTGGGAGCTGTTACCAGCTGATGGAGTTTAGCGCTACAATTAGGCTACTCTAAACTCTGTCAGGGTTGGCATAAAACCAGTCTGGGATCGGAGATCTAGATCTGGATCCCCATCATCCTCCCTACTCCATTCAGTGTGCTGTGCCCAAGGCTGGTTTCTGCCATCTATAGCTGAAAGGTGTATAAGTGAAAGTCTTAAACCAAGCCATAGTGGCTAACTTCTGAGCAGTCCTAACAGCGACACTAATAAATCCATGTGACCCTGGCATTGTGGGGTCCTCCCTGCGATGGAACCCTTGCATCAGTGCCAGACTGAACCAGCCAGAGTAGGAGGGATTTATACCAATAATCAGTCCCCTCTGTTTAAAACGCAGCAAGCTTTCCACCAAGACAGCAGGCTGATTGACAGAGCAGGGGGATGGGCAGCATGACTAGTCATTGCCATTCTGTCAGCCATATAGCCCCTACAGCTCCCTCTCTCTGGCCTCCCAATACTGTAACCACCTGCATTCCTGGGGGAAGTCTTGTGAGCAAACTGTCTGATCAAACTCTGCCAGCAAAGATGACACAGGAGGCTACTCTTGGCCCCATGGAGCAGGTCATTAAAAATAAGTCTTACTGTGCTCGAAAGACCCTCTCAAAATCAGGTGGCCCTGAGACTTTTGGAGGAGAGATCCCGTACGCTCGTCTGGCATAGATCACCTGGAGGGAGAAGTAAGCTGCAAAGAAAGAAACAAGAAGCAATGATCCTAGCAGTCTTCATGGAGACCAGGAGACTGTCACAGATGATGGAGCTCAGTGTTGTGCTACAAGGGCTTGTTAACATTCCACCGCCACATGAAAGAAAAGGTTGGTGTAATGTCCCTGCATGCAATGGAGTCATTCCCCCCCACACCTTATGCCGCTATTGTTATATTATCTCTACCATAAAAGAATTATACCCAGGACTCAGACAAATAGTTCTGAAGAAAAAAAAAAAGGAAAAAAAAGTGATGCCTTTGGAAGGGACCAGAGTTCTCCACTAGTGAGATATTTTCAACAGTTTCCAGTCTCCAGCTCTGACAAGGCTCCACACACACCATCCAGATTTCACAGGATGGATTTATGCTACACTAGCCACATATTGGTCTAATTTCAGGAACAAATATGATACAAATATTTCCAGCCTGTGCACTTGATATAGTGTCAGTTACCAAGTGGTATCCTCTCCCATCTTAGTTCTGAGGATGAGAACAATATTTTTAAATGGAAGACAAATCAATTCCCTAATCTTTAATCCTTCCTGCCTGCAACACATGCACCTCTTGAACAGGGGTTTCACAAAGAACGAAGAGACCCGATTCTCATTTACATGAAAGCATCCCTGCACCCTGCTGGTTCTGGAAAAGGGGCCTTCTAATCCAATTGTAACTTTTAAAGTGGGCTTACAAGACCCCTTTCCATGATAAATGTGGCGTAAATTGGTTTTAGTGTAAATAAGAATCAGGCCCAATTTTTTGGTGAGCGCCATACTGGAAGTTTGGCAACATATCAATGACAAATCTGGAAGGAATTTCCTAGACAGTAAAGTCCAAACCCATATAGTAATGTCCCTTGGACTATTTCAGCATGCTCTTGGTGGCTGTTCCTTTACCTAATCACTCTTAGGAAGAGATGGTTCCTGTGTCCAGACTTCCCCTTTCTCCAGTTTCAGACCTGTAATACACCTCCAGCCAAGTTTCCGCCACATCTTTCTGACTACCCCACTCTGCCTCTAGACAACACCCTCTTAGTTTCTGTATTGGATTTTTTATTTAGAATGATCAATGGCCCAACATTTTTAGGGACAGGTCCGCCTATCAGACTTGTCCATTGTGAGGTCTGAGAGGGGCATAATTTCCTATGGACTTTCTGGTCTTTGCTATAACTTTTTGCCATGTGTGTCACCTGGTTCTAACATGGCTGATTACCATCATGATGCACTCTATGTATACAACATGGTAATGGATGGTTCACAATGAGGTGGGTGTACACGATGCTCAGACTTTGAGACCAAGGCTATAGTGTGATTTTTCTGAGAGTAAGTTAATTCATTTTCTGGAGTAAGTGAGACGGTCTGTTCTTCTGCAACACAGATAGGACCTCCTATGTCTCCATAATTGGGTCCAACATGCCCCCTTCCTTCCACGCCTCTGTGTGGGAGGATACAAAGTGCTTAGCGCTATGTGTCAAGGCTCAATATGAAATCAGATTCTCCCAGGACTCACCCCCTATGCCAGCTATGTTAGCACAGCTACCTATGTAACCAGGAAGAACCAGCATGACTCAGTCTCATCTCTTATCTCTAATCCAAATATCTCACACTGTGAGAAACTCCCTAGAAAAGGTCACCTGAATTTGAGGCAGTCTTAGCTGCCTTTACAAACTCTGGCCTGTTCGTACAACCGGAAGTTCTGAAAGCACTGAGGGACATCCACGCCCTGCCCTTCATTAGCGAAGGAAGCAAACCCGACTACACAGGCGTGGATAAGTGGCTCCATCTACATGGCAAAAACACCACTGTAGAATCCAATTACTCTTAGACAATCAGCCTGGCCACCATCAAGTCAACTATGTTGACAAAGGGGACTCATTACAATCTACTTATACGCAGAGCAAAGAGCGATTATATAGACCGGGCCTGTTATTTTCCAAGGAAAGAAAAGACAAACATAGCTCTCTCATTTGCATCCTAGTACCAAATTTTGAATCCCAGATTTCCTAGTACTGAGGAATCTGATGGAACACACTATTACCTTTCACCTCCTGAGTTTGGTCACACCACGGCAACCACACACACTTGTGACTCTCATACCCCTGGGTCCAGTGAGATGGGTTTAGGAAAAAGTAATGTGCATGAGTGTATCCTATGTAGGAGCCATTGGAAGCCCAGGGTCATTAGAAAGCATGTAAAAATGGCCAATGTAATCAGATAATCCTGTGTACTGTTTGCAAGCGCCAAGTCGGACCTGCCAGAAAACCATGGACACTGATTTCTGAAATCCTTACCAGCCACTTGGTTTTTTACCATGCAGTGAGGAACCAGATCTAGGGAGATTCCCTTCCTACCACAACCCCTTGCTTTCTGCCTGCAGAAGGGTTTTTCTCCATTGCCTCTGGTCACTCTACTCTTCTGTGGTTGGGACATTGCTTAGTTTTCTTTTTGTTTGCACTGAAGTCCATGGACCCTCCAGGAAAAAATGAGCCTACAGTAACTCCTCACTTAACTCTGTAGTTATGTTCCTGAAAAATGCGACTAAGCGAAATGATGTTAAGCGAATCCAATTTCCCCATAAGAATTAATGTAAATGGGCGGGGGTTAGGTTCCAGGGAAATTTTTTTCACCGGACAAAAAAATATATATTATATAGATATACACACAGTATACGTTTTAAATAAACAATTTAATACTGTTCACAGCTATGATGATTGTGAAGCTTGGTTGAGGTGGTGAAGTTAGAGGGTGGAAGAGGGTGGGATATTTCCCAGGGAATGCCTTGCTGCTAAATCAGTGGTTCTCAAACTTTTGTACTGGGGACCCCTTTCACATAGCAAGCCTCTGAGTGCGACCCCCCCACATAAATTAAAAACACTTTTTTATATATTTAACACCATTATAAATGCTGGAGGGAAAGCAGGGTTTGGGGTGGAGGCTGACAGCTCACGACCCCCCATGTAATAACCTCGTGACCCCCTGAGGCTGACCCCCAGTTTGAGAACCCCTGTGCTAAATGATGAACTAGCACTCGGCTGAGCCCTCAAGGGTTAACACATTGTTGTTAATGTAGCCTCTCACTCTACAAGGCAGCAGGAATGGAGAGGAGGGGAGATAGCATAGCAGACAGGGACAGACACACACCTTGTGTCTGGGAGAGAGAGAGAAATGCACACTGTCACTTTAAGTAAGCTGACCCACTCTTAAGTGCATTGTCTTTTTAAGTGGATCAGGAAGTTGAGACAGCAGCTGCTGCCTCAGGCTCTCTCTGTCTCTCTCCCTCCGTGTCCCCTCCCTGCTCTATATGAAGAAGGGGTAAGTGGGGTGTAGGAGCAGGACACCCTGACATTAGCCTCCCCCCCTTCCACCACCCCCTGCACAGGGAGCAGGAGGCTCGGGGAGCAGCTCCAAGGCAGAGGGCAGGAGCAGCACATGGCAGTGGGGGGAGGGACAGCTGCAATTGCTAGCCTGCTGGGCAGCTGCAGCACAGGGAACTTAGGGGAGTGGGGAGATGATGGGGGCTGTTGGTCCACCCTGGTTACAAGCCCCCACCAGCTAGCTGCAACGGGCTGCTCTTCCTGCAAGCAGTGGACAAAGCAGGCGGCTGCCAAAGACGTTAGAAGGGAGCATTGCGCAACTTTAAACGAGCATGTTCCCTAATTGATCAGTAACGTAACAACGTTAACTGGGACGACTTTAAGTGAGGAGTTACTGTATTTGTAAAATGGAGAGATTCTTCGGTTTCCTGGGGAGCTTGCTACATTTGTAAAGTAAGATGTATCAAGAAATTCCCAACGTGTTAGAGACGAGGTATATTTGCACTACAAGCATTACAGCTACGCCGCTGTAGTCTAGACATTTCCTATGCCGATGGAAGGCTTTTTCCACTGATGCAGGTAATCCACCTCTCTGAGAGACAGTAACTACTTCAACGGAGGAATTCTTCCATCAACATAGCTGCTTCTGTAGCAGGGAGTAGGTCGACCTAACTACACCGCACAAGTCACAACATTTTTCACAGACCCAAGCAATGTAGCTAGGTTGACTTAAGTTTTAGGTTTAGACTAGCCCTGAGAAAGCCGTCCTTCCCTTAGACTCCCCAACCCTATTACCCTGGCATCACTGACAGCCCTTCTGGTTAATGCATTTAGAAAACCAGCCCAAATACTCATTCAGCATCTGAAGAGCTGGGGAGTTACAGGAACAATGGCCGAAATTTAATATACAAAGCAGGACTGACAGGGTTTTCTTTACTCACCACTTGGCGGTGCCCCTTGTGGCTCATCTGAGGAATTATCTCTGCCACCTGGTCTGACGCCCCTTCCTGTAGTCACTCAGCCAGTCGTTCCCCTCCTGGCCTCTCACATGCCGGGAGCTGCAGCATTTTCCTCTTCATGGCTTAGCCTTCTGGCTAAGTCACATTAAAGTTCTCCTCACTTCCAGGGTATCATCAAAGTCTGCTTCCAACTACCACCAAATGGGCTATCCCTAGTGTGTCACTCCAGCAGTGACACGTAGGGGAACCCACGCCCACCCTTTACATCTAGGGTTGCTAGGCATCTGGTTTTCGACCAGAATGCCTGGTCTAAAAGGGACCCTAGCAGCTTCGGTCAGCACTATTGACCGGGCCATTAAAAGTCTGGTCAGCAGTGCAGCAGGACTAAGGCAGGCTCCAACCCTGAGCCTCCTCCTGCACTCCAAAACCTTCATCCCCAGCCCCACCCCAGAGCCTGCACCCCCAGTTGGAGCCTGTGCCCCCTTCCTCACTCCAACCCCCTGCCCTGAGCCCACTCACGCACTCCAAACCCTCAGTCCCAGCCTGGAGCCACCTCCCAAACCCCTCATCCCCAGCCCCGTTCCCCAGCCCTGAGTCTCCTCCCACACCCAAACTCCTTCCCAGACCCTGCATCCCCTTCCACACCCCAACCCCCTGCCCTATCCCTGAGCTCCCTCCTACACCCCAAACCCCTCATCCCCAGCCTCACCCCAGAGCCCACACCCCCATCAGGAGCCTGCACCCCCTGCTGCACCACCCCTGAGCCCGCTCCCACACTCCAAACCCCTTGACCCCAATCCAGACCCCCCTCCTGCACCCCAAACCACTCATCACCAATGCCACCCCAAAGACCACACCATCTCCCACAACCAATCCCTCATTTCTGGTCCAACCCTGTAGTCCACACCCCCAGCCAGAGCCCTCACCCCCCTCCTGCACCCTAATCCCATGCCCCAGCCCAGTGAAAGTGAGTGAGGGTGGGGGAGAGCAAGTAACGGGGGGGGGGGTGATGGAGTGAGTGGGGGGCAGGGCCTTACAGAAGGGGCAGGCCAGGGGTGTTCTGTTTTGTGCAATTAGAAAGTTGGCAACCTTATCTACAACAGGTTTCAGTCCAGAGACCCTCAACCCAGCAGCTCTAAGTTTTTTACTCTTCCAGCCCTTACTGCTCCTTCCTTGGCCTGCTTCCTATGCCATCATTACCACTTCCTACGTTTGCCCCCTTGCATCAGGGAGTATAACTGCAGATCTTCCTACTCCCTCAGCCTACCAACTTCCTCTCTTTATAGATCCTGCCCAGCTCCTCCCCCACCTGGACTTCACCAGCAATTAGGACCTAGCATGCCCTGGGTTTCCTCCAGGTGCAGCCTAAGGTTAATTCTCCTACTTTACCCCTTCAGGCCTTGTGTGGGGTAGCCACCCCATCACAGGAGCTATTAATTTGTGCAAATAAAAGGAGAGCAGCAAGGATGTAAACTGGCTAATCCAATTGTGGGGAATGCATATTCAATCACTATACCTTGCTCCAGGACTCCCAGGACCGTCACAGCAGCCAGCAAGTGAATCTGATCCAGCATGTTGTCTCTTCCAGACTACGGGGTGTCCGTTTTGTGCTAGAATGGTCTGCTGGTTAATTTCACTCTCCTCTGATGAGGTGGGCAGTATGTGCTATAGAAAGCAGGAAGGGTTGACTCCTAGCCACCTTGCAAGCTCCAGAGATTGATACTACCAACTGGGCAGTTGCTGCCTTTCCTTTAGACACACACACACAAGCAAAGTGAAGCAACAGGATGTGATAGGAGTCTTTAACCAGGTCAGAATTTCCATCCTCAGTCTCTTCCTTTTGGGAATGTATGGTAAGGAAATGGGGGAAAGGTGTGGACCAGCAGCTGGGAGCAGAAGATAAGCACTACGATCCCAACAGTCAGCTGCTTAGAAGGTGTCTGATTAAGATTAAAACTAAAAGTCCTGACCACACTCACACATACACCCAGGGATGGCCAAAAGATGCTTTTCCTACTGGTATCACAGATGAAAACACCGCTCTCCTTGAGATGCTGTGTGCATGTATCTTGCAGCTTATTGGATAATAGTGACCCAGTACTGCCAGTGTATTTTCACTATACTAATTAATTTCAGATTACTCATCCTCAAAAATAACTGTGTCAAAACAAGAACTTACTAATGGTTGTGACATCAAAATAATAATAATTAATAAATAAAGTTCCCATGTGATGATTCTGCCATAATGGGGGCATTGGATGGTGGGGGAAGTTCAAAGACAAACAGAATCTATTTTGCAGGGTAATACTTTACTTTGGTCCTGTCTAAGTGCAGGGTGTGTGTGTGGACAAAATGACTTATTGAGATCCCTTCCAGCCCTACATTTCTATGATTCTGTTAAATCTTGCAGGCTGAGATTTTCAAAGCCACCGAGGAGCTTTAGATACACAATTCCCAGTGAAACAAATTGGAGTCAGTCATACACCTAAATCCTCCAGTCGGCTTTGGAATTCTCACCCACAGTTTTTACATTTTTGGCAAAGCTCCCATTGACATCAGTGGGAGTTCTGCCTGAGTGAAGGTTGCAGGATGCATTCGGACATAGCAAAAAAACCCACTGATTCTTGCTGTCATTTGCACTGAAATGAATATCTTCCCACTAATGTAAAATTAGCATATGTGAGCTGAATTCAGCCCTTTGTTTCCTTCCTCTGTTATTACTGAGTAGTTTCCCTTTAGTCCAAACACAGAAAAGGAGAGAGGAATAAGATAAAACGATCATTAAATGTGACTATGGAAGAAAACAAGGCCAACCCCAACCTAGCTGACAGGAATTAAACAAAAGATCAAGTAACATTAACAGGCTTCTCATTTTCTAATATATATATTTTTAATGATAGAACTGCAAAGGAAGCAAATAAGCTGGTGCCCTTTTTTGCTGCTTTATGATGGATAAAGAATACCAGAGGAATGTCCTTGCTTGTTTGTTTTAATTTAGAAAAATTAGGAATATGGTCTTCTAATCTCTGGCTTTTCTTGAGGAAACAAGAAGGGGTAGGATTTCTCAGACCTCAGTCCAAGGGGTTGGAGTCTTTTAATCTTTAACAAGAATTTTTCCACCAACTGTTAATCAGGTTGGAGTCTATTAACAACAGGAAATAAAAAAAAGCGAACAACAAAAATCAGAGCCCTGGTTCTTCTCTCACTTGCTTTGGTGTAAATCACCACAATATGCACTGCAATCAGTGGAGTTCTACAAGTATAAATTCAGTGTAAACGAAAAGAAAATCAGGTGTGAAGGTTTTTTTAATTCTTTAAAACTCTTTCTCCTCTCAATAGCATGTGACATCATAATCCCTCCAATTGTCCAGTCATCCAGCAAAAACAGGGTCTGATATTTTAATATTAAACAGAAGCAAAATAAATCAGTACATTTCTGAGTAGCCAAAATTCTTCAGGCCACCTTTAGCCTCATAATGGGGATTACCCCTTTCTTCCCTATGCAGATAACCTTTAGCATTTTATTCTTTCAACTCTCACTGTACAATTCAATAGTACAAAGTGCAAGGGTCATGCATATAGGGGCTAATAACAATTTCTGCTACAAGCTGGGGGTCATCCCTTGGAAAAGATAAAGGAGAAGAGAGACCTGGGTGTGTAGGTGATCACAGGATGACTATAAGCCACCAGTGTGATGTGACTGTGAAAAGGGTAAATGCGATCCTAGGGGGTAGTTGGCGAGACATTTCCAGTAGAAGGAAAAGTATTAACGCCATTGTACAAACCACTGTTAAGACCTCATTTAGACTATTGTGTACAGTTCTGGTCACCCATGTTCAAAAAAGATAAATTTAACTGGAACAGGTGCAGAGAAGAGCTACAAGGATGATCGGGGAATGGAGGACTTATGAGAGGAGACTGGAAAAGCTTGGCTTGTTTAGTCTAGCAAATTGAAGGCTGAGAGGAGATGTGTTTATAGAGAAAAATAGGTAAAATACCAGGGAGGGTGAAGAGCTATCTAAGCTAAAGGACAATGTTGGTACAAGAACAAATGGATATAAACTGGCCATGAACAAATTCAGGCTGGAAATTAGAAGGCTTCTCACCATCGGAGGGGTGAAATTCTGGAACAGCCTCCCAACAGGAGTTGTGAGAGCAAACAATTAGTTTTAAGAGAGCTAGACAAATGTATTAATTAAATTGTATGACAGGGTTACTTGTGATGGTAGAGGGCAGGGCTCAACAGCCCAGGGGCTTACTTCCGGTTTAGCTCTTATGTTCCTAAAGTTCATGCTTCAGGATTTCAGCCAGCCACCACCAGGGGTCAGGAAGGAATTCCCTTCCCCTCCACCCCAATGTATTGTTGGAGGGTTTTTCCATCTCCTTCTAAAGCATCAGGGCCGGCCACGGCTGGAGATGGGACAGTGGGCAGGGTGGGCCAGGGCTCTGAGGTGGCACCAAGCATTCTCTCCCTCTCAGGTGCTTGGCTGGCTGGTTCTTGCTCGCATGCTCAGAGTCTAACTGAACACCATATGTAGGGTCAGGAAAAAAATTTCCCTTAGGTCAAACTGGCAGTGACATTGGAATTTTTTGTTGTTGTTTTGGTTTGTTTGTTTTTTGCCTCCCTCTGCAGTGCGGGAATGAATAGGGATATCAAACTTTGGGCAGCTATTTAGAGACAATCCATACAGATCAGTAGATGAAAAACAACAGCTCACAAAAGACATCAAAATTGCAGTATATCAATACCTACCATTGAGACACTTTTCACCCCACCCCTACAAAAAGGCAGAAAGTTGAAAGAATTTGAAAAACTACTCCCTACATCCATGAAACAGAAAGGTTTACTGTCCATTCTATACAAAGTCATTTCTAACTGTTACTTAGAGAAGACAACCTATGTTTATGAAAAGAAGGAAAGTTGACCTGGGCATAGACAAGCAAAACTGAACAATGTGAGAACATATGGAGCAATGCCCCCCCCCCCCCCACATCTCAATAAATACATTAATAAAATAAAATTATGTTAAAATTCTTTATCAGTGGGCCCTAACTCCCCTTAAAATTAAATAGATTTATGGTACAGGATTGGTAAATGCTGGAGAGAATGTGATGAAATTGGGAGGATTTCTCTATATATGGTGGATGGGCCCAAAATTAAGACATTTTGGAAAGCTGTTGGGTTCCATAAGGGAGATAACAGGGTGTCAGCTGTTAGATAACCCTTTAGTATTTGAATTAAATTGTCCTGAAAACTCAGTGTCTTAAAAAAAAAGCATAAAGAATTGATGGCTCATCTCGTAGTTGCTGCTAAGATTACTATAGCAAGGTGGTGGAAGAGGAGTGACTCCCCTGAAGCTATTGACTGCTATCAAAAAGTGTGGGAAATTCTGGTACTAGAAAAATTAACTCATCAAGTCAGAGTTTTAAAGGGGAGAAGGCCAAAAGATAACTACTAAGAAATCTGGTGGAACTTTTTGGAGTTTGCTGGAAGATGGTCATCACCCGCTACCAAACCTGATTTTTTTAGAACTTTTTTTGAATACTAAGGAAGGGAGAAGCATCTTCAACAATAATCAAAATTAAACTAAAATTTAAGATATAAAAATAAGGAAAATAGATGGGAGGAAAAAGGACAAAAGCATAATATTACGTAGAGTTTTGATAGGTCAACTAATAAATAGGTTACATTTAGATGTATAAGAAAAACAGAAGTTTGGACCTAAACATGAGATTATGAAAGATTTAAACTAACACTGTCAACTGAGAAGACAAAAGATGAAGAGTAGAAAACCACACAATATGTGATCAATATGATAAACTTTAAGAAAGTCACCGATAACCGGTTTCATCAATACAACTTTAGAAGCTTCCTTGGGCCAATTTATAGTTGTGTATATACTATGTTGTAAAACAAGTTTTATACAATTTCTCTTATAAGACAATGGCTCAGATAATAAAAAATGTAAGAGAGGGAGCTTGTTAATTAAAATGTACATGTGTTATTCTAATCCCATTCATGAGTAAGGATTTGCAGCATTATACAAGGTAGAACAGGGAGGGAGGGGGAATGATGCAAAATTAAAAAGACAGATAATAGTCAGGCTCAAAGTGCATTTAATTCAAGCAGGTGTCTGTTTAATTAAGGCATCTGAGTTATCAAAGTTATTGTTCCTCTTTAAATAAAAGCTATAACTGTTACCAAAACAAAACAAAAACCTAGAAAACACCCAACAAGTCTTTCTGCAGGAAAACTGGGAAGACTTAACTACAGTAAAAGGCTATGGAATAAAGTATGCTTTGTGTATTTTATGAGACAACAAAATGAATAGAACCCTGCACTGACTGCAAATAACATGGCTGAAAAGTCAAAATATAATGTCGACATTACTTACATAGGTTATGAAGGGTGGATTGTCTAGATCCTTTGAGACATACAGTAAAAAACAATGTTCCTCATTCAAAGCTTTTAAAAAAGCCAAAGTTGTTGTGCTATCAAGAGGATTTTACGTGTATATAGGAGGGTTTTTTTTTTTTTAAAGGTACAGCGAAGAAAAAGCAGCCTATCTCCAGAGTGCTACAGCTCTACTGGCTAAATTCACATAGGATTTTTTTCTCTCAGGATAGTAAAAGCCCCTGCCCCCTTTTCCTTAACCAATCAGGAGGCTTGCTTCTCTCCTGGAGGCATGTGCGGATACTACTACTTCTGGGCTAGACTGTGTGGTAGTGGAGGGAGAGAGTA